TTTCTGAACTTCACAGATGATTTGAGCAGATATGGGTATATCTACTTGATGAAACATAAGTTTGAAACATTTGAAAAGTTCAAAGAATTTCAGAGTGAAGTGGAAAATCATCGTGACAAGAAAATAAAGTTTCTACGATCTGATCGCGGAGACAAATATTTGAGTTACGAGTTTGGTCTTCAATTAAAACAATGTGGAATAGTTTCACAAACTCATGCCACATGGAACACCACAGCATAATGGTGTGTCCGAACGTCATAACCGTACTTTATTGGATATAGTGCAATCTATGATGTCTCTTACCGATCTACCACTATCGTTTTGGGGTTATGCATTAGAGACAGCTGCATTCACGTTAAATAGGGCATCATCTAAATCCGTTGAGACGACACCATATGAACTATGGTTTGGCAAGAAACCTAAGCTGTCGTTTCTTAAAGTTTGGGACTGCGATGCTTATGTGAAAAAAGGTTTCAACATGATAAGCTCAACCCAAACCGGAGGAGTAAATCTTCATAGGATATCCAAAGGAAACTATTGGATACACCTTCTATCACAGATCCGAAGGCAAGACTTTTGTTGCTAAATTCGGAGTTTTTCTAGAGAAGGAGTTTCTCTCGAAAGAAGTGAGTGGGAGGAAAGTAGAACTTGATGAGGTAACTGTACCTGCTCCCTTATTGGAAAGTAGTTCATCACAGAAATCTGTTCCTGTGACTACTATACCAATTAGTGGGGAAGCTAATGATGATGATCATGTAACTTCAGATCAAGTTACTACCAAATCTCGTAGGTAAACCAGAGTGAGATCCGCACCAGAGTGATACGGTAATCCTGTTCTGGAAATCATGTTACTAGACCATGACGAACTTGCGAACTATGAGGAAGCAATGATGAGCCCAGATTCCGCGAAATGGTTTGAGGCCATGAAATCTGAGATATGATCCATGTATGAGAACAAAGTATGGACTTTGATGGATTTGCCCGATGATCGGCAAGTCATAGAAAATAAATGGATCTTCAAGAGGAAGACGGACGCTGATAGTAGTGTTACTATCTACAAAGCTAGAATTGTCGCAAAAGGTTTTCGACAAGTTCAAGGTGTTGACTACGATGAGATTTTCTCACTCGTATCTATGCTTAAGTCTGTCCGAATCATGTTAGCAATTGCCGCATTTTATGAAATCTGGCAAATGGATAAACAAAACTGCATTCCTTAATGGATTTACTAAAGAAGAGTTGTATACGATGCAACTAGAAGGTTTTGTCGATCCTAAAGGTGTTAACTAAATAAGCAAGCTCCAGCGATCCATCTATGGCCTGGTGCAAGAATCTCGGAGTTGGAATATATGCTTTGATAAGTTGATCAAAGCATATAGTTTTATACAGACTTGCTATGAAGCCTGTATTTACAAGAAAGTGAGTGGGAGCACTACAACATTTCTGATAAGTATATGTGTATGACATATTGTTGGTCGGAAATAATGTAGAATTATTCTGCAAAGCATAAAGGAGTGTTTGAAAGGATTTTTTCAAAGAAAGACCTCGGTAAAGCTGCTTACATATTGAGCATCAAGATCTATAGAGATAGATCAAGACGCTTGATAAGTTTTTTCAATGAGTACATACCTTGACAAGATTTTGAAGTAGTTCAAAATGGAACAGTCAAAGAAAGAGTTCTTGCCTGTATTGCAAGGTGTGAAATTGAGTAAGATTCAAAGCCCGACCATGGCAGAAGATAGAAATAGAATGAAAGTCATTCCATATGCCTCAGCTATAGGTTCTATAAAGTATGCCATGCTGTGTACCAGATCTATTGTATACCCTACACTGTGTTAAGCAAGGGAGTACAATAGTGATCTAAGAGTAGATCACTGGACAGCGGTCAAAATTATCCTTAGTGGAATAAGGAAATATTTTTCAATTATGGAGGTGACAAAAAGGTTCGTCGTAAAAAGTTACGTCGATACAAGTTTTGACACAGATCTGGATGACTCTAAGTCTCGATCTAGATACATATTGAAAGCGGGAGCAATAAGCTAGAGTAGCTCCGTGCAGAGCATTGTTGACATAGAAATTCGCAAAATACTTACGGATCTGAATGTAACAGACCCGTTGACTAAAATTATCTCACAAGCAAAACATGATCACACCTTAGTACTCTTTGGGTGTTAATCACATAGCGATGTGAACTAGATTACTGACTCTAGTAAACCCTTTGGGTGTTGATCACATATCGATGTGAACTATGGGTGTTAATCACATGGTGATGTGAACTATTGTTGTTAAATCACATGGCGATGTGAACTAGATTATTGACTCTAGTGCAAGTGGGAGACTGAAGGAAATATGCCCTAGAGGCAATAATAAAGTTATTATTTATTTCCTTATATCATGATAAATGTTTATTATTCATGCTAGAATTGTATTAACCGAAAACATAATACATGTGTGAATACATAGACAAACAAAGTGTCACTAGTCTGCCTCTACTTGACTAGTTCGTTAATCAAAGATGGTTATGTTTCCTAACCATGAACAATGAGTTGTTATTTGATTAACGGGATCACATCATTAACTGAATGATCTGATTGACATGACCCATTCCATTAGCTTAGCACCCGATCGTTTAGTATGTTGCTATTGCTTTCTTCATGACTTATACATGTTCCTATGACTATGAGATTATGCAACTCTCGTTTGCCGGAGAAACACTTTGGGTACTACCAAACGTCACAACGTAACTGGGTGATTATAAAGGAGTACAGCAGGTGTCTCCAAAGGTACATGTTGGGTTGGCGTATTTCGAGATTAGGATTTGTCACTCCGATTGTCGGAGAGGTATCTCTGGGCCCTCTCGGTAATGCACATCACATAAGCCTTGCAAGCATTGCAACTAATGAGTTAGTTGTGAGATGATGTATTACGGAACGAGTAAAGAGACTTGCCGATAACAAGATTGAACTAGGTATTGGATACCGACGATCGAATCTCGGGCAAGTAACATACCGATGACAAAGGGAACAACGTATGTTGTTATGCGGTCTGACCGATAAAGATCTTCGTAGAATATGTAGGAGCCAATATGGGCATCCAGATCCCGCTATTGGTTATTGACCAGAGACGTGTCTCGGTCATGTCTACATTGTTCTCGAACCCGTAGGGTCCGCACGCTTAAGGTTTCGATGCTTGTTATATTATGAGTTTATGAGTTTTGATGTACCGAAGGAGTTCGGAGTCCCGGATGATATCGGGGACATGACGAGGAGTCTCGAAATGGTCGAGACGTAAAGATTGATATATTGGACGACTATATTCGGACATCGGAAAGGTTCCGAGTGATTCGGATATTTTTCGGAGTACCGGGTAGTTACGGGAGAAGCAATGGGCCTTGATGGGCTTTAGTGGGAAGAGGAGAAAGGGCCAAGGGGCTGCTGCGCCCCCCCCCCCTCCCCTCTGGTCCGAATTGGACTAGGGAAAAGGGGGCCGGCCACCTCTCCCTCTCCTCCACTTCCTTCTCCCTTTCTCCCCTCTTGGTGGACTCCTACTAGGACTTGGAGTCCTAGTAGGACTCCACATCCTGGCCGCACCAACCTTGGCCGGCCTCCTCCTCCTCCATCCTTTATATACTGAGGCAAGGGGCACCCCAAAGACACAAGTTGATCCACGTGATCTATTCCTTAGCCGTGTGCGGTGCCCCCTTCCACCATAGTCCTCGATAATATTGTAGCGGGGTTTAGGCGAAGCCCTGCTGCAGTAGTGCATCAAGATCGTCACCACGCCGTCGTGCTGACGGAACTCTTCCCCGACACTTTGCTGGATCGGAGTCCGGGAATCGTCATCGAGCTGAACGTGTGCTAGAACTCGGAGGTGCCGTAGTTTCGGTGCTTGATCGGTCGGATCGTGAAGACGTACGACTACATCGACCAAACGCTTCCGTTGTCGATCTACTAGGTATGTAGATCATACTCCCCCCTCGTTGCTATGCATCAACATGATCTTGCGTGTGCGTAAGAAATTTTTTGAAATTACTACGTTCCTCTACAACGACAACGTCTTGTCAGCGACTCGTTTTGACGACGGCAATTGGCGTTCAATGGTACATAGCTCTCAATGTAATACTCCCACCGTCTCAAAATAATTGTCTCGACTTTGTACTAACCCTAGTACAAAGTTGTATTAACGTTGAGACACTTATTTTGGGACGGAAGAAGTATTTATTATGTTTTGGGTGCTTTGTATTCCTGGTGAACCTTTGTAAATACTTTTAAAAATTAAAGTAAAAGACACATTATTGGACAATAGTAATGTTTTATTTGTTTCTTTTGAATTTTATAAATTACTTACTATATTAGTAGGAAAATGTAAAAAGGTGATAAAGCTTGTGTCACTTAAAAAACAAATTGTTCTACACGAAACAGTTGTAAGAAACTTGGTAAATAAATAAATAATAGTTTGTCTAATTCACATCTAGATACTTTTTAAGGATGTCACATCTAAGCTCCCACAAATATATATATAAGGGTCTGTTTAGTACGCATCTAAATGTGACATAGTTATGTCACATCTAACCTGATAAGCACTATGTTTGTGGTCTATTTTTCTCCCAACTTTTTTTTTATTTCTTGTTGCTGCGTAGTTATTTTTAGGAGGTTAGATGTGACATCATTAAAAAACATCTAGATGTGAATTAGACAAACTGTATATATAATGCATCAACAAAAAATAAAAAAAACAGGATAAAAAAAGACCACAAATAAAGTGGACATCAGCTTAGATGTGACATAATTATGTCGCATCTAGACGTGTCCTAGATATATCCAATAAATAAAGGAAAAGAAAGGAAACAAAGGAGGGGGGTTTTCTTTTCCTTGCCGAAGAATACTACTCCCCGTACTCCTCGCCGCTCCGACCCGCCGCCGCCGTCGCCGTCGCCTCCTCGCTCTTGACGGCGAGCAGTCGCGTCCCAGCGGCGTGCGAGGGAGGGAGGGCGAGCTCCGGGCATGGCGTGGGCGGCGCTGAGGCCGGTGGTGAAGGCCTGCATCGGCGGCTCCCTCATCGGCCTCACCATCTCCGACCGCTACTTCTCGTTCGCGGCCGTCCACGGCGACTCCATGCGCCCCACCTTTGAGGGCAGCGCAGGTAATCCCCCATCCACACACACACAGCCCACTACCAGACCGGATTCCTCACCGATTTCTGACCGCCGCACGCCGGAGTGACCAGATGGACGCGAGTACGCGCTGGTGAAGCGGAGTCCCCTCTACGACTACTCCCGCGGCGAGGTCGTCGTCTTGGCGTAAGAAACCTGCCGATTCCCGTCCGGGTTGCCTGGGTGGTTCCTGAATCCAGCTTTCCATGGGTGGGTGCTGCTCCAAATAGATACTGAATCTTGATGGTTGCTGCTGTGTGTGCGTGTGTGCAGGTCGCCGGTGGACCACCAGAGGAAGACGATCAAGAGGCTGATTGGGCTGCCCGGCGACTGGGTCAGCCTCCCCGACAAGGAGGAGGTCCGGAAGATACCGGAGGGCCACTGCTGGGTCGAAGGGGACAACGGCGGCGTCAGCCGGGACTCGAGAGCCTACGGCCCTGTAAGAAACAAATTCTACTGCCCCCTTGGAAATTTTCACCTAATTCTTTCGCGCCATCTTGATAGACAAAACTGCAATCAAGTATCAGTTCACCAACAGGTCGAATCCCTCTCGGTTTTGGATGAAAGGGGCTTAAGCTTCGACCCACTTTATTTCTGTGAAACCCAAATAACATAACATCCATTACACTTCAGGCTTAAACATGAAAGCAGCCTAAAGATGAAACCGAGCCAGCATGAAGCCGCTCCTTTGTTCTCGAGTGTTCCTATCTTGCACTGCCACCTTACCTGTTATGCATCATTGTATTACTCTGTTTATATCTTCCGGTTTGATCTAGCTGCAGTTTGTATTGTGCTAAATTGAACCCATATTGCTTAGTTCCATTAAATAAGCGCCTAATCGAACTAAGCAGTGGGAAGGGGGCTTTGCACTTTTCTTGGTGCTATTATTGATACTGCTATCATGCTATCTACCTTTGCATAGTCCTGGCAATGATGAACATGTTAATTCTTGTGTTGTCTGCAGGTGCCGCTTGGTCTGGTGCAGGGGAGGGTGACGCACGTGGTGTGGCCGCCTAGCAAGATGGGCCGCGTCGACAAGAGGGTGCCGTCGGAAGGAAGGGGAAGGGTCATGCCACAGCGCAATCTCTAGCCTCCCTTGGCGGCCGCTTTGTCCCGCAGTTTTGTTCGTCCTCACAGAAGATTGATTCATCATGTAATAACAAATGTAACATGAACAGACATTGCGCGTTCCAGATGTAGCAGAGCAATAGAGACTTTCTTCTGTAACATTACCTATCGGCTGTATAAGGGAAGGGCAAGCAGAAGCTTTGGTAGGAGGAGCCTGCTAGGCTAGGCAGTAGCTGCAGGCAAATTTTGGGTGGATGGTGATGATGCATTGACGTGTATAATGTATACTCCCTCCGTTCCTAAATATTTGTCCTTCTAGACATTTCAAATAACTACTATATACAGATGTATGTAGACATATTTTAGAGTGTAGATTCACTCATTTTGCTTCGTATGTAGTCACTTGTTGAAATGCCTAGAAAGACAAGTATTTAGGAACGGCGGGAGTAGTTGATATGAAGAAGAAAAGATGTCATATGTATTGTTTGAATTTTTAGCTGCGCTCGTTTGAGGAGAGCAGCACCGTATATATATGTTGCCAAAATCCTCTTGAATTTGAAACTTCGGCTGGATTTGGTACGTCCATATATGCAGGTGGCGTTACACCCTCTGCTTCCTCTGAAACCCACATACCCTCTTTCTCCCTCTGTTCAAATTTTCTGGGTGCTCCTCCGCCCCCCTCCTCGATGTCAATCGCCGCCACTGTATCTGCCTCTGCACACAGGAAGAAGAAGAAGAGGCAATGATCGCCGCCACTGTACCTGCTGAGGCGGCCCGAGAAGCCATGTCGGCGCCGGGCACACTGACAGAACAAAGGTTGTTCTACATTGGCAAAAATCGATGCACATAGTATCACTTGACCCATGATCCCCACAACTCAAACATATGTACATCATAGATCTCCAGAGAGGTACGGTCCTTCTTTTCCAACCATTTCAACTTTTGCTTACACGAGGTCCACATGGATGAAGGAACAAACTGAAGAATTGCCAGTGGATTTATTCTGCATGCGTTATATAACTCAAAAGTTTTAGTCCACCGGCACTGGCTGCATAGCCTCAGCCTCCTTCCTCAGACCTTCGAACAGCGCCGACGATAAGTATCGCTCTCCCGCGCTCGGATGAACAGTCTGAAACAACAGGCGAGTCAGTTTCTGAAACTTCTCCATCTTTAACATATTTTTGTATGAATTTCATAGATATGGGTATGTAATGTCGTGCCACGATGAGCTTCCCTCTGTTTTCGGGCCTCTTTGCAAGTTCAATCTGTTGGCTCCTGATGATATCCCCACCTGCGAAAATTCCACAAGTTCAGCAACAGTTCAATGTAATCTGTGGAGTTTAACATTAGCCAATAATCGCATCAGGAGTCTCTTCTTCATCTTGATTCTTCCTAACCATACATGTCCTTTTGTAAGGGAGCAGTAGATTTGTTTTTGCAGCGCCAGTTGTTGCACCATCTTGACGGCATCCTCACCTTTCACCTGTCAATTACATGTGTGGATTCAGTAAGAACTATATAATCTATTCTATGAAAAGAACATAAGTCCAGTTTGATTTGATTCCTTACCTCAAGAACCTTCTCCATTATGTCCATGTCCAAAATGTCTGGCTTGAATCCCACTCCATTTCCAGTGATCCGGTGAGGCCCTGCAGCAGTTAGCAGCATGACTATAGAAACTAAAAGAAGAGTGCATCATTTACAGAAAGCCCGATAGGCTACCTGGCTTGCCACCATTCAGAATATTTGCTTGGGCAGGTTCAACTCATACATCTTCGCATTGGGATTCTTCTCCTTGAGGTACTTGCCGACGCCGCTGACAGTACCGCCACTGCCGATCCCGATGACGAAGATGTCAACCTGCCCAAGCCCGTATCTCCGGGCCGGTGGTATCATATTCAAGAGAAATATGAGGGATTGGCCACTTGACTTTATTGATCAGGTGAGGTTTGGCTCCTCATCTGATCAATATGCCGATACTCCTCATATTCAAGAGAACAGTAAACCAGATTGCTCTTGACTTTATTTGATCAAAAGAGAGTGCCCCACGAATACAATCGGGGATTACATAAAAAAAAAGAGTCACTAAGAAGCAGCTAGGCTAACGGAAATGGCTTCATAGCCCGGAGCAGCGAATCCAAATTAATGTGGTGCACGCACGCATCGGAAAAGGTATTTCTCCGGTGGAGCACCACGCGGGCCTCCTTCATCGCACCGGGAGGGCCGGCAGTGCTCTGGTCTCCTCGTCGCACGCTTGGGCGCACGGGCCATCCGAGACCGGGCATGCGCGCTTGGCTGGCATGGCTGCAGTGCGAGGAGCACGTCGTCGGGCATGCCGGTGGCCTGGGGAGACGGAAGCTCGAATCCAGCAGGCGGCGGCATGACAGAAGCGGAACCTCCCAAACCTTTAACCTCCTCCTCCGGCTCCAGCGAGTTCAGCACAAGAGGCAGCAAAGGGACATGTGACAGGCAGCTCTCGGTGGTTCCAGACGAGAGTTGCAACTTCACAGGATCCTTGCAGGGGAAATATAAAAGTTGACAAGAGGAATGAGCCCAAGATATGTGCAAGTTAAATACAGTGGCTAAGAACATATCTCTGGGGCCAGGCTAGACTTACCCACCAAGCAGGATTGTAATCTGAACACTGCCAATGGGCCATGCCATCCGTCAACAAATCAGTGCCCCTCCATCTCTTACCGAACAGTGTTGTTGGCATGAAACCGAACCATTCCATAAAGAGAGAAAAGAAGAAAATTTATAAAGATATTCACAGATAGAGCAGATAAGACTTGTGCTGTAGAAAAATGATTTGTTCAGAAAGGCATAATTTGCCAGATATAGATGGTTAGAAGATTGGTATCACTTGCTGGTGGTTAATCAGAGGAGCAAACTGCTTACCTCCACAAAATGTGTCTGCCCCTATGCCCAACTGCTCAAGGGAAACACCAGACATCAGCCAAATGGCAATAGGTGCCAGACAGCAGTTGTTCCTTACGTCAATGTTCGGCTAGCAGCGACAAATGTTCTGCAATTCTCAAAATCACATTTGCAACAATTGGACAAATGCTAATTTGCTACAAACACTAAAGTTTGCACGAAACAATACTGGATGGGAATTAGCACTGAAAGCTTTAGTGTGCACCATGCCAATATATTTATCTACAGGTAATTACAAGTGGCAACATACTCCTCATGGTTCCTGAGTTGACTGCCTGCTGCACGCTTTCCGAGCTGTACAAGGACCAGACACTCCGTAATTTAGCAAACACGTGTCTGTAACTTCAACCATCTCTAGTGCATGATAACATGAACATTCAAGACTGACGAGCCAGTGCACTTGAACATATAATGTAAGTTTCTCCGAAAAATATACATTTGCATTATGTATTTAACATTTCAACTGTTTGTAGAATTTATTCAGCTATACTAGTACAAAGTAAAAAGAAGTGCACACCACCATCTGTTTTATTTCCTTGCAACTAGAAGTAAATGGTTCTCAAGAAATAGTGTCACTAACTGGAACTGGAACTCAAAACATAGTGATGTAATTCTGTATTTTTAACATGTATAGATAAATTTTATATATGCAGAATCTATAATGTCACAGAAATATCACAACTGTAACTTAATCGTTTCCCCTAGTTTCTGCATGCAGCAGGTAAATGACAATTTCAACAATAACTTCGTCTGAATGGAACGGGAGTTGTTTTGTGCAAAACTATAATGATCAGTACACCAACAAAAATGATAAAAAAATGGACCATGAAAAACACGATTTGTCAGACCATGGCAGCTCAGCAGTAAGAACACAATCAGATTGAAAGAACATATTGAGCTCAGTAGCTAACCTCTTGCTTCTACGATGAACCAGACATCTCTCTGGGTCATACCGGAAATTTCAGCATTGATAATTTCGATGGGAGCACCATCAGCTTCAGTAGCACATATACTTTCCGGCACAAATTCTAGCAGCCGAGGCTGTAGTGGCGGAGTGGGCATCGAATCAGTAAGGCAAACAGATCTTATTTCACCTTTGACAACTGGCTAAAGTACATAATGAACCATACAATCCGTTATTTTACAGGATGAACGACAGATTGCCGGCAAACACTAACAGCATAACAGGAAACGACAAGACTTAACAAACTTAACTTAGGAGTGACTCGATTCCTTTTACAACTAGTATTGGCCAAGGAGCAGGACTGCTTAGAGCTAAAACAGCTGCTCTAAGCAAATAAAGCAGTAGAACAAGAACTTGACTGAAGAACATTTCCAAAACTGATCCATACTAAGCAGCTAGCTCAGAGGCTTCATGGTCTGGAGCAGAGAGGACAAATCAATCTCGTGCAGGCAAACCTGCGAGATGTATGCCGTATCGCTGCGGTGGTAGACGACGACCGCCTCTTTTGTGGCAAGGTTGAGCCGAATGAGCCCAACTCTGCCTACGTATAAGATGACAGTGCCACTCCTGAGCCCGAATCCCTCGAACTGAACTGAGCTGTGCACGCCCCAGTCCTGCTTGTCTATGAGCACCTGCCGGATCCATCTCGGCGGCGAGCTCGGCTCCCCCTCGACGGGGGGTAACATGGTCCACATTGATATAACCTGGGTCTCCGAGACCACAACCTTGAGCCTCCCGTCCACGGAAGCGGCCAGGAGGAGGCCCCGGTGGCTCATAGAGGCCGTCATTCTGCTGGTGCAGCCCCGCGGCAGATCAATCACGGTGGCCTCCATGGTGTCGACGTCCACGGCGACGATGTACGGCTCCGGGCCAGACAGGTGGCGGCCGGGCGGCAGCGGCTCCGGGTTGCAGAGCCAGTGGACGGTGCGGCCGATGACGAGGGGGTAGGAGTCGTGGAACGGCCTGGACTGGCGGCGGGGGAGCGCGGCGCGGACGGGGCCCCAGCGGCCCTCCCGGGAGGAGTAAATCTGGATGCGCAGGCGCTCGTCGGCGACGAGCAGCTCGAAGGCGCGGCCGTTGTCGTCGACGGAGAGCAGCGCGTGCTTGCGGTAGTCGCGGAT